CCTGATACGGTATTCTTCAACCGTGCTTTTTTTTTGTTTTTTTGATACACATTTTTGGCTATAGATGGCTTTCGTTCAACATTTTCCCGACGAAACTTATAATATGGCTGTCCCAACTTCTGAATGGGGAAATTAACGGTATGATTTCTGACCAGATGATATTATAATCAGTGGTACGAAAACACTTGATAGTGGTTTGAATGCAGTTGTAGAAGTGCAAACTACAATGTTGCCGATGTCGTTTCATTTCATCCCCATATTACTCTCGAACCTGCCTCTGTTACTGTTGGTAAAGGGTAATAGGAACGTTTATGTCTGCTCCCGTCATTACTAGTCTGTTAAACTGTTTTGTTAACTCTTTAGTTTTAAAGAGATGAGGATCCCTCTGAAGGATTAAATTTGACATGGTGGACAACTTTACAGGGAAAATGCAGTTTTATTTGCTCATAGAATACACAAACCATTTCTACTGTAAAACTGTTCACGATATTAAAGTTAAGTCTTGATTGATTTAACAGTCTATTTATAGGTTTGGGATAAACTAGTTTATTCAAGAAATTCACGGAAACAAACTCAGCCGTTTCACAGACATCTCGCTTAGCTAAACTGTCACTTGTAAATCTATAGTTATAGGGTAACAAATTCACGTTACACGAATAGCTGTTCTAAATAGTTTGTAATTCTAAGAAACTTAAACTTTTTAACAAAAGCTCTCTGCACTGTACTACTGTTGAACTGCTTTAATTACCGTCTTACTTAGAATTAACAAGTCGCTTAGAAATACTTCTCACAATTGTCACTCGAAAATTGCAATATAACATTAACATTACACTTTAAGTTGTTTGCTTGTTTTAGAGCAAAGCCACATTGGGATATTTTTTGTATCCACCGGGAAAATCGAACCCCGGATTTTAGCGTTGTAATTCGTAAACTTACCGCTGTCCTACCTGGGGCATACACTTTAAGTAAACAGATAATTTAACTTCAATTATTGAATACAAATTATTTTCTTTCATCAAGTCCCCCCAGTGGGTAAGTGGTAAATCCGACGTTCGATTCTCCTTGGTAGACAGAGTGCAGATAGCGTGTTGTGTAATCTTTAATCAATTGTTTTCAACCTTGATATATTGAAATGTAAGATACACATAAATCTCCAAGCACTTTTCCTTATCTTTAGATAGTTGCCGTGTATACAGGTAAAGTATATACGTGAAAGTTTTATATATGTATGTACATATTTATATATATAAATATATTCATATATTTTCATTGATTATACATTTATTATAACATTTCATCTTATTTATTTTTTGTTCATATAGAGGAACGTTTACTTTTTGTTATAGGTCGCTAACAATGTTCTCTTTCGTACATTGTTACGTAATTAATTACCCACGCCCTGTGTTGAAAAGATGCTTAAGTTGTTTTTGACACTTGTGTTTATTATGTGATATGATATTATCACTTATTTAATCTATAACTGTATTCGTATTTTCCAAATATTCAAATATTGTAAATATTATAATAAAAAATAACAAAATTCCAACTCGACTGGGATTTCAACTCGAGACTTCATCATAATAGTCGAGCGCTATAATAATTGTACAACCCAGTTTTTGTAATTGCACATTAAAAATAATTCAAGTCCCTGACGTAAAGTGTATGTTATTGCGTTTCTTCTTAATATTGTAATATCTTTCTCTAAACATGAAGAATTGATAATTTTAGAAAGTTATATAAAAAAAACCCACTCTACTGGGATTTGAACTCGAGATTTCCGCTTCAGACTAACCATTGAGCCAATTTTAACGTTACCAACAGCGAATCGAGTGTTACCAACAAATGGAGCGTTCCGGACGGAGAGCGGCTTTTATTAGATAGATAAAGCAACATATGTCTTAAAAACTTTTCTAAGAAACACTACATTTTTCTAGGTTTACCAACAACGCCGTGAAGTTTTGAATAAAAATGTTTAACAGTCCAACTTAAGATGTGTTGCAATATCAGTATTGTTGTTAAGTCATTAAACACTGATGTACAATTATATTTGTCATAATATTAGGCCTATAACATTTTTAAACACTACATTCTTAATATAGTCTCTTAGAGATTTTTAAGAATTAGAAAAGTGAATAATAATAGTATTCGAACTACACTATAATACACAGCTCTTTAGGCCAACTGGGACACAACAAACACAGCATTGGTCAGAGCACTATTTATTTAAGCTATCTGATACAGTAGCAATTGTTATGGTGTGTACACCTTTTACATCACCAGGTGAGATACAAGAACTGAGGCTAACAGAAATTAAGTTCAAATAAGAGAATCATGTGAGTATCTATAACAATAATAATCTACAAAGCACGTGCTTCATCTGCTGCGTTGGTAATAAAGTATTTATCAATGAACTATCAAATATACATAAATATAATAGTACTGTTACGACAGCGGAAGTCACGCGACACTGGGAACATGCGCACTGGAGTTTCTAGAAGGATCATGACTTATCCGATTGTTTGTCAGGCGCCCTCTTTTTTAGTATATAAGCCTGGCGAGTAAAACCAGCGCGATAGGCAGAGAGATATGCAGATAGAGATAATTGAGTCAAGCGAACAGTAGGCACCGTAAGTAAAGTGTGTGAATCACTGTGATTTATAGCGTGTGCTATAAAGGTTGTTAAGTTTAAAGTGACTGTGGAAATTCTGTGTATTACAAAGTTGTATCGAGAAAGAATAAACTAATTTTAATCAAGAAAGGACTTGTATCGCTGAAGTTCCTTGGAAAGAATTTTTACCGGAAATTAACAAACGAGCAGATACGCAACAGTACTGTCTGTTAAATGTCCATGTAACTATATCGCAGAGTGTGGATGGATCTTCACCAAAATTGGAACGAAGGTTCATGCGGGGGTACATAAAAAAATTTCAGTTTTGCATCGTGCGAATTTTATGAGCATTTTTGTGTTTCTTACCACGAATTCGCCCCGGTTGATGGATCTTCACCAAATTTGACATGAAGATTTATGGGTCCATGCGGAGATACATGCAAAGTTGCGAGTTAACATTTTTGTGTTTTACAGTTTTTATGGGCGTTTTTGCGTTTTTTACAATTAAATATAAGAGAAGCAGCTTTTCTGGTCCTAAGATAACTTTTCATTAATCATGAAATTAAGTAATTTCGTCCAGGGGACGGGTACTCCAGCTAGTATATAAATATAAAGCAGTAAGGGCTGAGTCCAAGTACTAAAACTTGTTTTATATACAAGAGAGAAAATGAGAGAGCGATTAAAATAGATACAAATAAACACCTCTATATTTGTTAAGAATAGGGTTTTGTTTTTCGTGTGTTAATGTTATATTCCTTGCTGAGGATTTTTATCTTAGAAGAGTTTAAACAAAGATTATTCCTAGACGTATATTCAAAAACATGATATGAAGATTTTAAATGTTTCTGCAAACGTGTAGAAAGCTGTCTATTTGACTTATGATTATAAAAATTAAACAATTAGTGTTAATAACGCCTCTTTTATATGTAAGCTCGTCTCATAATGTCCTCTTGTGAGAATCATAAATATACTGCGATAGACGACAACGTCACATTCTCCAAGTGCGTGATAACCGTTCGTCACTAAATTTGTTTGTTATTTTATGTGTTGCTAATCTTCTAGTGGTTACACCTATTAACCCAGAATTACATCTAGGGCACTTAAATATATATATGTTATTTTCAGTGTTTTTATATATAAACTTATATGTTGTTTTTAAGAAACATTAAAAAAAAACACCCGAATTTACTGACAAATAATAGATGTTGTATACGTAATCAGGCGCTTGGTGAATGTAACGTAGACGTACGTCTTTGATATGTGCTAGTGATCGTGATGATAACATCTTGCTCTATCAACTTCTAAGAACTCATGGATGAAAGTAAAATAGTATATGTTATGATTTGTCAACCATACTGCACCTGCCATATTCAATTACGACGAGGTCTTTCGCGTAATACTAGGATTCATTAAGCCGGTTGGGATATAACAGCGGTATATATATATATCATTAGTTTTCATGTTCAACAACTGTTAGGATGTGAATTCGATTTTAGGTAAGAATTAATAACACAATAATATTTATTTTATTTTAACGCTTTATTTTATTGATTTGTTAGCACTATTATTTGAATGAAATTTACCATCATTCATCAGAATTGGCGAACACCATAGGGTCAACGAGGAAAAAAAAAACACTTTCGCACTCCAAGAAACCATTAGTGACAGCAAAGGTGAATATGTTATAACATGTCAACCACTACATCTGCCATATCCAGTACCAACGAGGCCTTTCGCCCAATAAAATTAAACCAGAGCTGAATGAGATGGGTTCAGTGATTAAACTATTAACATAAATAGATAAAAGTAGTTTTCAAAGTTAATTTTTTCTTTCAAAAATAAACAACTTTGTCAATCTCTTTTCTTGGGATCAAGATTTTCCTGTTTTACATATTTATTATTTACCTGCTGGCTTTATTTTCATCTGGGAATAATACATTTTTTACAAGCCCCATATTAGTCTCTAGAGATGATCGCTCACGACGTGATGCACTTTATTTGATGTGTAGACTGGGCCACGTTTTATTTTAAAAGTGTTATTTAATCAGTATGTTTTTCTTCGCCTTCTAATAGTTAATCGATAAATTTTATTGTGTTGTATTGTTTTTTGAAGACATGCATTCACAACAAGTAAAGACAGAAAGAACGGCTAGAAAATGTGCGACGCGACTACAAGTCCTTTCCATTTCCCACTGGCATGAAGGGCAACTTTAAAATTGCCCTGCGGCAGGCAAGACGAGCTAAGGTGGAGAAACATCAACATTCCAATCTTTTGTTTATCCAGCTTTGATTGGTTCCAGTGCACCACGCGGCACTTTCTGTTGATTGGATAATCTAAGGCCTTGGTTGGCGCCCTGGTACACGAAGTCAAATACTTTTTTGATGACGTCAGACAAATATAATTCCAATGTTGGTAAGCCATGGAGAACATGGATAATATGTTATATAGTGATGGTAAAACCTTGCATGGTTTTCACTGATTTTTTTGCGTAAAATATGCCTATTGGACATAATGATGAAATTCCTTTACCCGTTGGATGGGATATTGGAAGAGACTTCGATGGAAAAATATACTTTATTGACCATATCAATCGTAAAACTACATGGATTGACCCAAGAGACAGGTAAGCGTTGTTGCGTTCCCGTGGAATGTGACTGTGAGTCCACTTTGGCCTAATGAAACAGGCTTGGAATTCGTAATTTTTTCCGCCTATACCCTAATTAAGTAATGTGTTTTTTTGAGGAATGGACGTAGCTTTAACTGCACTAAAAGATAATTGAAAATTTAATTTATCCAGCTTATTATTTGATTGAATAATGAATCATAAAATCCAACTTATCTTAGTATTATAAACAATTAGTAAACAGTAGTAGTTGTAGTAGTAGTAGTACAATAGTAGTCTGATGTAGTACGAGACCTAGCAAAGTCACATACCAAGGAAGGGGTTAACTCGTGAGGGGAGGAAAGGGAGTGATTTCGCCATTCATTAAGACTAAACTACTTTTATGACCTTGTTCGTAATATCATTCAGAAACACCTTAATATTTCTACAATTGTGTTGACCGTGTACTTTGTTTTTACTTTTTTTATTGAACATTTAATTTTATTTTGTCAGACTATAAGCTAGTAAACCGAAACCAACTAGGCTATGTAACGTAACTTGAACTTTATATACCTTGTAAGATCAGGTTATAACTTCTGTAAATTGTTTAAGTTATTAGGATACAACTCCAAAGTTAGTCTAATTTTAAATTAATGTTTAGTATAACTTGGTATAAACTGTTTGGTAGCATAATTGGTATAAAAATCAAAACTTGTTAACATTTAAGGGACAAAAAGTGTATGTCTGTCAACCTGTGCTGTCTTATCTACTTAAAAAAGAAACTGAGTTTATTTTAATTTGCTGCATCCACCACATTGATAACACTTCAGTCATATTCCCTATATTTCTTCTTTTTTCAAGATAAAACAATTTAGAGATCTTACAAATCCTAGTATGACAGCCTTTCCATACCAGTTATTATCCCAGTATGTTTACACACGTACAATTTAAGGACAACAAGGGACATATTGGTCTATCTAGGCCAGCCCATATGCCAAACTAAACTTAAAACACTCAGCTATCCTCTGTCATTCAAATATTTCTACACTTTCTTAAACTCCCTTAAATCTATTGCATACACCACATCTAAAGGCAACCACCTGAAGCTGTCTTAGCTGAAGATGATTCTTACCCTGCCAAAATTTATACTTATGTTCCCTACTCCTACTGTTCTCATCGTTAAGTATGAAAAAAGATGATGCATCAATACTATCAGTTCCCTTTACAATCTTAAACACCTCAATGAGATTCCCTCTAACTATTATTTTTTCAAGAGAACTTCCCGAGATCTTAATATGATGTCATATGACATCCTATTCATCACAGGTATCATCAAAGTAGCCCTCCTCTGAACCCTGTCCATCAATTCAATGTCCTTCTTAAGGTAAGGTAGAGCCAAGTCTGAAACATAATACTTCAAATGTAGCCTAACCAGTAACTTGTACAATAAAATGATAGCATATCTATGGACTTGTAATCAGTGTTTTTCAAATACAACAAAAAATCCTATTTGGCATACCACTAGCATCAGCACACTGCTTGGATAGCTTAACAGAATGATCACCCAAAACACCAATAACTTGGCAATTGGAGATTAAGTTGTGGATTTATTAATTGTCTAGTCCCTGTAGCTCAAATTTAGGCAAGTCTGCCAAATAAATATTCACGTAATGAAACATTTCGAGAGCATTAAATCTACTGTGAGAATTTGTTTAATTTGAACGTAGTTGAAAGACAAGTGTTAAAAAAAAAGAAGATAAAAATAGGATTGGAAGGGAAAAACAAGATCCAATTTGGGAAGGGATTCAGACAAACCTCCATGTAAAGTACAAGCTGCAAATGATAGCTGAATGTCATTTCGTAATTTTATAATCAGTTCTTTTTTTCTAGATATAAAACAACTTTTTTTGTTACTCTTATGAACATCTAAAGACATGAATAACAGACACTGTTAATGATATGAACACAATAACACTTTCTTTATAAAGAAGTGTGTAGTTATATCAATACTCTCAAGAGTATTGGAAAATATTTGTAAGCTATCACACATTTAACATAATTTGAAATGGGATTTTTTTTTTTAAAAAGTAAAAATATGTTTTGTAAAAGACATTTTGATGCCTATAGTTATAAATGTATGGTTACCAGATAATGATTAAGTATGTATGTTCATTATAGTTGATTATACAAAATACATATATTTGTCATTGGTAAGATAAAATCATAACTTTATTCTGTATAGAACAATTGTTTATTAATCCCTAGCTGTAACAGGTTACATTAAATGTTAGGCTTAAGATTGAGCAACTTCTAGTTTTATCCAATGAAATACTTTAAAATCTTACATTTCTTAAAATTAGAAATTAGAGCTAGAAAGTTGATCTTATTAATATCAATTTCAAGTCTATTATATGTCTATTGACTTGTTTTTTTTGTGTTGATCTTGTATTACTGTTGTGTGTAGCTAACATAAATATATGCAGCACTCCTGTTGAACGTTTTGGATGTCAGATTAATGTGTAACCCTCTTAAGTTTTATCATTAGTGTAAACTAGTAGTGTGTTTGTTATACTTCATTGTATATTTCTGCCATCATAGCCCAATAGTGTTTATCTTTAGTGTTCATTAAGTATATGTTTTGAATTATTCAAACTCAACATTCTAAACAACTGATTTAATAGGAACAGTCCACTTGGACTGATGCTATATTAGAGAAGTTATGTTTACTATAATTCCAAAGTTATGAAATGTGGCAAGCTCTTAGTAAACAGTGCAAATCTATTGTATACAAATAATCAAATATGTTACTAAACTTTTTATACTAAAAAATATGTCTGTGAATTTATCGAGTCAGATTGACTTAGACTCTGACATATTGAAGTGCAAGGTGATGTATCGTATATTTTGGTGTATAAGATGTTTTACCCCAAAATTTGATGTCAAAATCTGCTTGCGTCCTATACAACGAAGGTATGAATAATATATATGTGTATATATATATATATATATATATACGATATACATAAGCCATGTGTAAATATATTTAAATATAATGCTCCCTAAATAATAAAAAAATAAATTGCAGTGAAAGCAATGAAGATTTTGTAGGTTTTGAACCAAACTAAATAACAGTAAACCTTTTTTTGATTTACGGTATTTCCTTGTTTTGATGTTTTGAGCTCTTTTGTATTTAGAAAAATTATACTAATTTCTAAAGTATCAAATTGTACTTTTGTTCAATAAAAATCTTTCAAATACAACTGTAGCTTTTATTTCCCCAAAACATTGTCTTCAAAATAAGGGTGCGTCTTATATTCTGTAAAATACAGTATATGTGATGAATAAAAATAATTTTGTTCATTGTACAGTTTCCAAATTGCATATCTATGTTTTTACGGTATCCCCATATACCGTGATATTTTCTTTACCCTAACACAAATTGTTGAGGAATCAGCAGTGTAAGGTAACAAAAATGTGATAACTCTAATATCAAATCCATAATACCATGTTGAACGGCACTCTTTACATGGTCATGACTTGCACACTTTTACCCCACACGTGTACATAGGGTTAATTATACAAGATGTTTGAACTGCAGAAACATGTGATGAAACAAAGAAAACAAAGTGCTTAAGAAATGCATAGAATATCCAGAAAAATATACAAACATTAGTCTGTGTTGTTAGTGCAATCGTGACAGAAGAGTTGCATATATTTCCAACAGTGTAATTCTTTAAATGGTTGTGTATTTACAAAGTTTTACATAAATTGTCAAGTTTTTAGTGGATAGGTAATGTGTGCCTCACTTTGTTGTGGTGGGAGGGGAAAAACTAAGTGTAATATAATTGTTAATAATAATATAAATATACACTAACTAAACAAAGTGGAGGGGGGCATTTATACTTTCTGTCCTATGTGGTAGGTAAAACCTTCTTAGGCAATAATGTTAAGTATTTATAACAGTGTTAATAGTACACATACACATTATGTTCTGAACTTGTATAAATAAATGTACAAAATTCTTTTTATATCGTATGTTAATGGAGATTTCACGGAGCTCTGTGTGTTCAGTGAAAAATGTACTTTGATCTACACAATCTATTAAACAGTGTTTGTAATCTGGTATTTTAGATATGTTAAAGCCAAGACTTTTGCTGACTGTTCAGGTGAAGAACTACCCTATGGTTGGGAACAGTGCTATGACCCGAATGTTGGTTATTTCTATGTTAATCATATCACTCGTAAGTACCCAATAAATTCGGTATTAATCATTACCATAAATTACATAAAATATTTTATAATGGAAAAAGAAACTTATTTTCTATTATATGATTTAAAGTTTAAAATACAGAGGGCAGGTAATTGTTTTTTAAAGTACCTTCTATTCACATATTAACTAACATGCACATCAGTGTATCAGTTGACCATTGCTGTAAACTGGGAATTTGTGCCTGTGGTGGGCCTTTAGCAGAAATGCTGCACTGTAAAAAACACTGGTAGTGGTGAAAGTTATATTTTGTTTTTCATTTTCGTTGCTTGATTTTATGGAATTTGAATGTGAAAATTTCTTTGTAGTTTTTGAAATATTATAAAGAATTACAAACTCAATTTACATTTTTTCAAGTTTTTGTAAATTAGTTTCCATATTCTTGTCTCTCCAAATGAAACAGAAAATTTAATTATTAGATCTACACATCAAATTTATAGGGCTAGTTTTGTTTTGTTACAGAAACTTAAACTATATGTATTTCTGAAATTGTGTATTGTTGTTTTAAAGAAAAGTAGTCATGTCTTTATAGAAACAAATTTAAAATTATTAGACCGTTCAATTCTAAATAGAATAGTATTACTCCAAAAATGACTGCTTTTTTAATCATTTGTGATTTGTTTCTGAATTAAATCTTTGGATACCTTGATATTCTTCAGTTGTTACTATTTAATTTATGACACAGACTCCAATCATTTAACCATGTAGGTTTAGCCTGAAACATTATGGATTTATAATTTTTCATGTGATAGATACAAATCAGCTTGAAGATCCAAGACATCAGTGGCGCCAGCTACAGGAGGCAATGCTCAAAGAATATCTTGTCTTAGCTCAAGAGGAATTATCGGTAAGTTTTTCCCTTTCAGTTGAGGAATTGATATAGATGTATAGGTAGAGTACACGATATACATTGTTTTATTATTAAAATATCATTATCATTTTCAGCATTTTGAGTGTAAGGTCTGCATGAAGAGAAACCTATGAAACTTCACCTACCTCAAATTTGCAGTTATACTTAGTAAATCAAGTATCATTTTTGGAGTCTGAATAACTTATTAATTAAAACCTTTGAAAGATCAGAAAGTCATTATATAATATTCTTTTTTTTTTGTTCCTTCAGGCTAAACAAGAAATATACGATGTCAAGCAGCAAAGACTGTCCTTGGCTCTTGACAATTATCATCAGCTTCAAACCACTGTAGCAGAACTTAATAACTGTCATTCTGATAGTAGCCTGTGTTCAAGTGGATCAGCTTTTTCTTACAATAGTGTAACTAAATACGATCCTGATCTTTTAAGAGTTGACGTGGCTGTAGCACGAGAGCGCGTAGAAAGATTGAGACAAGAACTTGATCAGATTCGTAAAGAGATGCATTACAAAGAAGAAGGCTTAAAAACTTTATCTCAGTGAGTATTCATTATTTCATGGATTAATTTGTTAGGTGTTGGAACTGGTTCTTAAACACTAATAGTCCTAATTGTTGTGTGCTCGATGTGGTTCGTGGCTAGTTTGCCAGCCTACGGATCTCACTGATCAAAGTTTGAGCCATGATATGCAGCACTTTGAGCTATAGGGGAATTATAAATGTAACAGATTTTCTGCTATTCAGTTAAGAATAGCCAAATAGTAGATGGGGATCGCCGCTAACTGGTTGTGCTTTCTTTGGCCAACAGTCCTAAAATAGGGTTGGCTGTGCCTGAATCCTAGGGTTTGATCTCCTTGGTTAGCCCATGAATTACATAAGGTGCTGTTCAGATTGAAAATGCCAATTCTTATTTGTTGACTAGTAGAAAGTGTACAGTTAAAAGTATTCTGTTTCATTGTGTATATTCAACAGTAGAAATGTATGTATTTCAAATAAAACTTGCTAAAGAAGAAGGTTAGTACTTGATATGTATTTGTATCCTGCTGTTTTTATTTTATCTTGTAAAGGTTTTTAGTTTTTACTCACATTTGATATAATTTGTCAGCAATTTATCATATAAATCCCAAGTTCATCTACAAATGCAAATGGGAAATTTTAATAGTAGATTTGGAAATATTGACCAGTTTTAAACTAAATGGTGTACTTTGTACATGTGCTGTTTCCAAAAAAGATAGCTTATTAAGTTACTGTGTACTGCAGTGACACATTTAGTTAATGGGTTTTCCACTTATGTAAAACTTTCTTGAATTTTTTTTTGTGTAATTACATTTTATTTTTTTTCAAAACATGACCTATAATAGTAATAATAATAAAGAGGTGAATTTATCGCAGTAGAGTGTCCATAGGTTTTTCACATATTAAAGTTATAGTTTTGAGTAAGAATAAAGAATCAAAAATGTTACATGATCTTTTAGAATACAGTACTTGAAATAAGGGTTTAATGAAACATTCGCACAATTTCAGAGTGGATCGTCAATTTTGTGATCAGAATACGTTCTACACACTAGAGGAAGCTAAAGCTCTTTTGGAAGAGCTTCAAAATATCCAAAAATCATTGAGGATTGGTAAAAAAGAAAAGGAAGAACTAATGAAGGTAGAAATAGTTAAAACTAGTATTTGTTTCTACATTACTTATTGTTACAAGCTTTCCTTCCTGTAGACTTATTTATAGTAGAATTGTATACTTGTATCTCAAGTACTTAAGCATAGCCTGAGCAGATAGTGTGATTGTTGTACACAAGAAACAGTAATAGCAAATCCTAAGTGATGGCAAGTGATCATTTGATATATGTGTGTACAGAAATCTGTAGAAAGAGTTCTGTTATGTTGATCGTGATGGTTTTGTAACTGACTTAAATTTAAAATGTTCTAATGTTTTATATAATGATCAGTGTTAAACCTTCATTCGTGTGCAATGAACGTCTTTAAAGCAATATCATCTTTTTGTATAATTATATGTAAGTGAATTTTCAGAAACTATGAAAGTAAAAGGTTCCTTTGCAGTTTTGTTATTAAATTGTAAGATATAGTTATATTTTTAACATATTTATTTTAATATTTTTTAATAGATTTTGTAAAAGATAAAACTTGTTTTAAATGTAAGGGATATATTTTATTGTTACTGAAGCTTAGAAGTCTCACTATATGCAGTCATTTAGTTGCCCTCTTTAGTAGGAGTTGGAAACTATTTTTATATTTCTTAAATATGAAATTATTGTGTAATGTGACAAAAAAGTTCCTTTAATACATTTGAATTCAAAATATATTTAAAACTCGAGCGCTTTTGAATAGTTGACTATTCTTTTTCAGGAGAACAAAGAAGAAGAATAGTCACGTATTCGAAAGCACTCGAGTTTTGGGTCTTATTTTAAGTTTATTACCCACAGTTCTGTCATTTTAATTTATTTTTTCTGTTTATAAAATAATAAAAGATATATTTTATATTTCTGGTGAGGGCACGTTAAAAGAAATTTGTGATAACATTGAGTACAGAATTTGATTTGGTGAAAGTTGTTAAATTAACAAATAATAATAAATGTACAAGATGAATTAATCTTTGGCTTCATAGATTCAGACAATAGGTAACTTTTAAAAAAATAAGGTATGCTAATTTACTGCAAATAGTTATCAGTTTTCTTTAGAAGATGACTTTTTTTTTAGAAATTACCTTTACTTTTGCAGAACCTTTCAAGTTTAACAAGTGATTTATCTTGTCTCCACCTCATTTCATCTGATGATCCCAATTCATGTACCGTAAAAGAAAAACTGAGCACGTCATCTCAAACGGAGATGTCAGGAGAGGTAATTATAACCACTTGTGTGATGAATTTCACTCATTTTTTGCCTCTTTCATTTTAGTCACTGTTTATTAGTTTTTAGTTCCTGCTTACCATTTAACGTAAAAAGTATTTAATGTTTAGTCTTATAAAAATTGTACATCGTACGTGCATGTTTTTATACTTGTTGTTTTACAAAAAGTATGATATTTCCGAAGACTTGGGCATTAACATGATTATTTTATTGGTATAATGAATAAACTTGGTATTCTGAAAATTGTTTAATCTTGAAGTCTGAGTTCAAGAGAGGTCCAGTTCAATCTACACTTTGATCAACGTGTATTATTGGGTTATACTAGTTTGATATTTTTTTTATAAATAGATAAATTTTCCTATTTTTTAACCTATTTTATTGTTCTTATACTTTTTCTATATATCTTTCCATTTTGTAGCAAATATGTTTTCATGTTAAAGGTTTGTGTATTTTATCTTGCATAAAGGAAGTTTTTAATTCTCACGAACTGTATTATAAAAGAAAGTTTGCATCTCAAGTTTTACGGTTTCAGATTCTTACAATGAATTTAGTGATATAGATGTTATCCCAAGGTTCTCTTGTCAAAAAAAATGTTCAGAAAATAATTGTTAATGTCTGTTCCTATCACTTTATGATGTAAGAGCACGGACTAAAAGACAGTTCTAAAATAGGTATATATTTAAATTATTAAGTAGGTGTTTTTAAAATACTAATGAAATTTTTCTGACAGTATGGCCATCTTGGAGTTCGGTTAGCTGAGATGGCTAATATGAGACTTCATTATGAAGAGATGCGTAAAGTTATCCATCGGATGCAGCAGGAATTAGCTGATTTAGAAGATTTGACATCTCCTGAAGAAATAGAGTCTGATAAAGACCGGTAATTTGATATTGTATTGATTTGTTTATGTGTGTGCGCTAAATGTTCATGATGTTATCATTTGATTAAATAAAAACAATAAAAAATTGTATTGTATTAAAATATTTTAATTCTTTGAATTAGATTAAATAAGTAAATTTTCAACTTCATTTATCTTAAAATACTGTCATCTACTTTTTATCTTAGAAAGTTACAACTTTTCACTCAATTCTGAAATTTATGTTATTATATTGACACGAGCTTATTCTGTTATTACTTGTACAATCAGTGACTGAACAAGTTATGTACTTGTTGTTGTTATTTTTTGTTTCTCCATGATGCACAGTTACGGTCTAAAGCCTATATTTAGTGGCTTTTATGTATACATTTCAGTTTGTGTTTTATTGTTACTGGCATGTGGTGTTCTAAATTGAAACTGTGAATCGGTATTGAAGTGGAATAAAAACTTTCTGATTTTGTTTTCTTTTGAGATTAATAAAGTAAGGTCATGAATAAAAAAATGTTAAACTTAGTCATACTCCAACTAATAACTTAATTAAAAACGTTTTTTTTTACTTTAGATTACTACTGATTCAAGAAAAGGAGCAGTTGCTACAAGAACTTCAGAATCGTATTGAAAAAGAAAAAAGCCATAAGGAAATAACTTTAATTCAGTCGGAAATCGCTAAGCTGGAAGAAGATTTAAGTAATGCTATAGAAATATCAAACAAAGTAATTGCAAACAGGTTAGGGAGCTTTAAAATTTTGTCTTTCTGTATTTTGTGGTACATTCATTTATAATTAAGCACTTTCTGAAAACATTACACTATAACTCAAACATTTATTTTGGTTAGATTTACAAGATACTGAATTGAAAAAACAACTGACAAACAATCAAGAAGTAGTTTAGGGTCGTTACACAGTGTTTCAGTCAGGTCGCATAATTTTGGGGGTGGCATAAATTATCTCTATCTGGATCTTTGCCGTAGTTGTAGTCGTTGGCCCACTTTTCCAATTTTGGAGAAGGAATGTGGGGAAAATTGACCCAGCCTTGTAAACCCTAGCTGAAAAAATTGTTTCTCATGTATTGATAATTTCATTTAGAAAAGGTTTACTAATGGATATTCGATGCTGAATGAGTGAAAGAATATTTCATAGTATTTTAAGGTCCTTTTATTGTTTTATTTTTATTATTTTATTGTAAAAGTTGTAGTATATTATCCACTAATCTGTTTACAAGGTAATATGTAAGACTTTTCAAAATGATCTTAAATAAACATTTGTATTTAGTGCTAGTTTATTTATGAATCTATCCTCCAGTTAGGCTTGTTGGTTTATTTTCTCTAGATTGATGCTTCATGAGAAGAAGAATAACCTCTTGCAGCAACTTAGGGATGCAATTCGCCAAACCACATACATCGAGTCCAGGCTGAAAAGGTAATTATTTATTATATGAAGTGTTTATTCTGCTTAAAAAAAAAGCTAGAGTAACTTTTGATTGTTAACATTTCAATCGTTATCTTTATATCTGTTTGGTAGATTGTTGTTTTAAGATATTCAGTTCATACATTGTTCTTGCTTTAATTCTTAATTTCATATTTTGAAAATTAACAGCCTGTTCAGTGTTTAATTATATTGCTTAACCTTTTTTGAAGAACCCATCATAATGGTTATTCTAATTTTGTTGCAGTTTATCAGCCAGCACTCTGTCTATGTCATTAAGCAGTTCACTTGGGTCACTCAGCACTACCAGCAGTAAAGGGTCATTAAGCAGTCTCAGCTTTACAGACATCTATGGACTTCCACCAAGTTCTCTAGATCCATCCATTGAAGACCTTCACAAGCAAGTTGAGCAGATACTTCATAACAACATTAATTTAGAAGGAACACTTGAAGATTGTTCTTCTTCATTAGCATTAGGGCCATCTCTCTCTTCGTGTTCATCACTTTCATCTGTATCCTCTTCGTTATCACCATGTGACCTTTCTCTTGAATCATCAAATTGTGATAAACAGCGAAAGGATGGACTGATTAATGTACAAGAGCTAAAAGTAACATCTTCCTCACCTGAACTTCCAAGAATGGACTCTCTTAAACCGTCTGCGGTTATTCAACAAATAAATCTGCCTCTTCCGTATCAAAATAGGTTCCACTCTTTATTAGAAGAGTGCATTCCTCCAAACTACAAACAGACTCATGAACCAAGAAATGAGGGTAACAGGCCCACCTTTGATCCAGGTTTGAATAAGGCACGAAGTGATGAGTCTGTAGCAGGAGACAGTGGGGTTTTTGAAGCTTCAGAAAAAAAGTAAGTTTTATCTTTTTTTTTTATGTGTAAATAAAATACCATAACTATTTGAATATAATACGCTTCCAAATGTAATATTCACTCTAATCTTGATGAACAAAGAGTCAAATGTGGCTTATCACCATAACTGATATGCACTAGTCTTTTGCAGTACTGTGGTAAAAGTAATCTTTTGATGAAAAGAATGTTAGTGTCTGTTTAATCTCTAATTGTGTGTTCACCTTAGTGCTTGTTATCTTTGTAATTGCAGCTGGCAAGTAAATTTTGTCCAAATGTTAGGGTATCCATAAAATCACTAAAATTGAGTTTGCTTTCCCTAGTGCTTTCTATATTTGATATACTATTGAAACTCAACAATTCTAGGTATGCATTATCTGAACTGGACTGTCTGGGAAAAAAAAAAAACATTTAAATTTGTTGCCATATATTGCACACAACCTAACTTCTAGATAAATTTGTAGTGAAAAAAATGTGTATTATATTCAGGAAAATATGGCAGTTATAGTTGGAATACTTGTATTAGGTTTTTTTTATGCAATTATAAAATTTTGTAGTGTGTATTGTTATTATGAATTCAGAACTGAAAAAAAAAAACTTTGTCAAATGATTTAATCTCTACTACATAAGGCTAACAAAAGATTCTTTAATAGGCCAGGAAGAGGTGAGCACAAGATCCAAAACTCCAATGTTGAAGGAGCGCAGGTTCAACTTACACTGAGGTATGAAAATACATATCGTAGGATTATGCGAGTGATTATTTTGTAATAGTAGAAGTAGAACAAAAAAAATGTTTGTATGCTTATTCACAGACATAAAACATAAATTAAAACAACTGATCTATCGTGCTTAAAGGAAGTGAATCATTTCAGTAATCGAACTTTTAAGAAAAATCGTTTTCACTTCAAACTGTTTAAACTTGGCTTATTGTTTTTCTTTTTACTTATCAATTGTACTGTAAATAGCAAAAAGATAAGTCCAGTATTGAGCCATGTAAACTGCTATTTTTTAATGTTGTACATATTTTAATAATGTTGTTCTATTTTTAGTTATGCTTTAGAAGAAAGCATACTTCAGGTTGGAATTGAAAAAGCAAGAAATCTGACGGCACTGTTTATGCCTAATAATCACAAGATGTAAGTTTGGGAGATTTTCTTTTGTCTGTGGGTTTTCTGATTGGATGTTTTTATATATATTCATTGTGACAAACAGCAAAGGAATGGAATAATTGATGTAAATGAGCCAAAAGTAACATCTTCTCACAAAAACTTCCAAGAAGGGTCTCTCTCTCTCTCTTAGATCATCCACCAGGATGTTTAGAATAGGGTACTTGTGTGATAAATATATATGAACAGATTTATTATTTTATCTTTTGTTTCAAATAACAATGAGGGTATTTCTGTACTTCTGCTTAGCTCTAATCTCTTCAGTAATTTGTTTGTTTTCAAAAGTATTGTGGGGGGGTTATCATGCTGGACCGTGTACTGGAAATTCTAAGGTTAAAACTGAACATGACCCACACTTCCATCTGTGAAGATATAATAACAGTGAAGTTATTTCTGCTTTTCATTTAAGAATGGCTGTGTAGTTGGTGAGAGCTGCTAACTGGTTGGTTTCTTTCTGATCGGCAGTTCTAAATTGGAGATGGCTATACTTAAAAGCAGTTTTAAACTGGTGATGGCTATTATTAAATTTTAAGGTCTGTGACTTGCCCATTTATCATTCAATTTGAAAATACCAAATCTAAAGAACTGTGCTTATCTTAATATTTAAGGACTAGTATTTTATTTTTTGCTGAAGTACAGTTAAAATATAATTCTTTACATAGCTGTTAATCTTAAATAATTTGTGTTTAAGCCTAGTATAAAATTTAAGTAAAAATATTAGAACTTTTTATTGGTATAATGGATTATTAAGAGTTGTATTTTTGTGCTAATCCACTGAAAGAAATGTTAGTTGTTTTATTCTAAATTGTTCACATAAACAGCCGTTTTCAATTTTTGTGTAATTGATGTTTATAGTTTCTTGAACGAAGGCAAGATTGTAATTTTATGGAGGTTGGCGAAAATAGAAATATTGTTTTATTAATTTACTTGTAAACAATTCTTTCAACTTAAAAACAAACCATTTTTCTTATTCTACTAACCAAGATTGCAGACATTAATTTGTGTTTATCAATGCTTATATTGTTAGATTCATCAAAGTTGGTTTACAGCCAGTCCTATCAAACACTCTACAGGGCAGCACCAAGCTCTTAGATAATTTCCATAAGCCCATCATCGCCGAGAACTTCAAGTTTCCCGTAAACCTCTCCAAACTATACACCAAAACATTACAGATTAATGTCTGGTGTGTGGCTCCTTCGGGAGAGACAGAATGTTTGGTAAGTTAGAATATTTCTTTCTTTTTTTGTAATTGGTTTTAATGTCTTAAAAATTTCTGTATCTGTAAATACCTATTCTTATTTTTACTTTACTTAAATGATTAAACTATGTTTTATATTATTGGTGTTTTGTACTCATATGCTAGCATAGACACACACGTTTTTGGACAGATTGAAATTAAATTCATCAAATGTCAACCTGTCCTGTTAAAAATGACAGCAAAGATGAAATAACAAGAAATTGCATATGATACTGTATTCGTTTAGGTTATACATTAATTAAAATATTACATGTGACGAAAAAGGTAGCAGGATTTCATAAATAGATTGATCTTATTGCAAAAAAAAGTAACAAAAAAACTTTTTTTTTCTTTTTGTGGACTGGATGTGGCAAAATGTTTAGTGTGCCCAGACTGTCAATTTTAGGATTCCTGTTTCATGATCCAAGTGTTATTATTATCCAAAGTGCCAATCATTACATCCATGCTGTTAACTAGCTGCCTTCCCTTTAGACTATCAGTTAAAAATTAGAACCAGTTATGCCTAGATATTTCCTCGGTGCCTTTTGCACCTCTTGAACTGGTCAGTTAATCTACATGAAACCTCGATGTATGACGTAGATATCCACTATAAGAGTAACAGTCAAATTCCATTATTTGAGAAGTAGAATAGTTGCAGAGTCAGCAGTTGTTGTTGTTGCATCACCCTCTAGTCTGTCGATTCAAAATGAGGGATGGCTGTGTTCAGATAGCCCTTGCGTAGCTTTGTTCTAAATTCTGAATCAATCATTTTAGCTCATTGCTCCAGGTTTATCAAGGTTTGTGGTATTAGCTATCTCTGACTCATTTCAGTTAGTAGTACACTGAAGTAGGTATACTGAGTAATTGGCATCTTAGACTAGCTATGAATAAAAGTTACCATACAAAGTACAAGAATAATACCGAGATTTAAAAAAAAATTACTGACTAACACTGGTATTTTGCTTTTGATCTGTAAAGGTAATTAAAATATTCAATTTTAATCTCATGTTTACTATGATACTTTCTAGTGTTGATTGAGTAACATGCTAACTTTTTAATGGAAGAGGATCACACACTGTAACACAATAATAATAGTCAGCAGCCAGTTTTGAGTGCATATACACATTTTGTTGTAAATTATACATTGTGATATGTGCGTACCATGCTTTACTGAATGGAGTGTAACTGTATTAAAAACAGAAATTACATTTACAGATCACTTAAACCTAGTCGTACATTACTTACTGAATTATAACTAAACTGTGCTTATTTTTTTGCAGAAATACCATATTAACTGGACAATACTTGAAAAGCAAAAGTTAGGGAAAAATATAAATTCTCTGACCTACTCTGTAAAAAAGTTCTTACATAATCAGCATAGAAAATTGAAGTACACTACATATATAGCTGGAAGCCAGTATTTTCACACTCCTAATAGTTAGTTTTCTGCATGACATAGTGATGGTAAAATAAGAACTTGACTTCTGAATAATAGTTGATTAATATTCTATCACTTAAAAAAAAATTAAAGAATATTTTTGTCCGCAAATTTCAGATCATGACTAAAAAAACAGAATAATTTGACTCTGTAGTTAGTGTACATTGTTGAATTGTCCCAACATTTACTATATTATTACTTAGACTAAGACCTTAGGAGTTTAATTGTCTTATAGTATGATCGACTGGCAGCACATCATTTTGAAGTCTTAAGTTTGTATTTTTTATACGTATACTCATAATATTAGAGTAGTACGTCTTATTAAAATTAAAACAAGTTTTTTCGCTTGTATTTTTATTATAGTAAAGCACTTTCTTTTAAAGATGGATTTAAAGTTTATAGATGTTTGCAGTTTACCTAAGTACTTACAAACAGGCCAGATAAAGAATTAAAAATAATAATGGTACACTATTAATATTTCACGTTACTTCACATAAACAAAATCATGAACTTTGTTTGTTTCTGTATCTTAGTAAAAGGATGGTAAGTTTGTATTGATTACAACCAGGTGAATACTAGCATACCTTCAGAACAATGTTTTCATGTATTGATTACAACCAGGTGAATACTAGCATACTTTCAGAACAATGTTTTCATGTATTGATTACAACCAGGTGAATACTAGCATACTTTCAGAACAATGTTTTCATGTATTGATTACAACCAGGTGAATACTAGCATACTTTCAGAACAATGTTTTCATGTATTGATTACAACCAGGTGAATACTAGCATACTTTCAGAACAATGTTTTCATGTATTGATTACAACCAGGTGAATACTAGCATACTT